GGATTAAAACTGCTCGAAGATGTTAACTGGTGCTGTAGCAGTCTTTCAAACACTTCAATTCATAATCAATGTTTTAAAGACAGAAGTTTATCTATGGAGAATATGAATGATATAGACCTTATCACATGGTGTCACAAGCAAATACACATAATCTACCCCCATATCTGCTACGTGCTTTTACAAATGAGCTCTGCATGACCTAACCGTGGACCACACAAGTCATTTGAAAGAATATAATTTGCAATATCTGTGGATGGAAAGCGATAGGTGCCCAGACCACGAGTTGGACTCTCACCAGAATTTAAATTCAGGCAACCTCCTGATGAAGGGGCGAAACTCCTCGTTCTGCTTGGTAGGAAGGGATGGGCCCTCATCTGCAGGAAATATGTTACCCAATGATGTGGTGGTTAATAAAAATCATGCAATCACAACTGAGCATTTAGACAATTTTAAGAAACCTTTTGAGATAAAAAGTATAATTTTGCTTGAGAATTTTGTAGAAAATATATTTACTGTGGAACTGAAATTAGTTATTGACATGTTTACATCAGCGTGTCTGGTGCTATGACATTCCATTTCCTGTATTCTGTCCTTTGGACAAATGTATACACTATGAATGCATTTTAGTCAACTTGCCTTCGTCAAGCATTGAGGGATCCACTTTTGGCGATAGAAAAGCAATGAAGAGGTTGAGATGGTAGATTCCCAAAGCATATGTTACTATATACCATCCCTGAAAAGCAGCAGAGGAACATCACCACATTAAAATAATTTCTGGGAAGCAAGTAAACATGGATGTGAAGCTGTGTTAATGGTAGTTAAACACACACAAGCAGGAACATTTTATGGAAACAACACAGAGAAATTTTAAACACATCACACATTAGACAATTGAGTCCCATAACAACTGTTAACCCAACATCAGCAAGGAGCATCAGCCCCACAGAAAGAGTCAACAGTTACTGTTCACTTGGAGCATCCCCTAAGGAGGTGACACGGTTAAGATCAGTTTCAATGTTAATAAAATCCTTTAAGGAGCATACTAAATTCTTGCACACATATACTAACCTCGCTAAAACAATGGCTGGAACTGCCTTCTTCTCTTTGGTAAAAGGTGTGATGTCAGTGATGATGATGCTACTTGCAGAAGGTTTTTAGCCCAAAAAAAAACTACTCAAACAAATCCTCACCTTTGTTAGTGGCATGCATGACATGCAGAAACAGAAATTCCTCCCTTGTGTCAAACTCAACAGAGACCTCATCGAAAAAAATGTCTGGTTGCAATAACTGTCCTTCAGAGTTTTTTCAGTATGTTTTGCTGTATCAGTAATCTGCACTGCAACAGTTCTTTGTGACTAACTGTGAATTTGAAACTATTTTACTTTGTTTGGTTCTAGCAGCTCCACATTAGCAACAAGGCTCCTTCATATATTTTCCTTCTAGAAAAGGTTTATTTTCTTTTAGCTCACTCACCACATAAATTGCATGCATCATATTGTCTCTTTCCAAAAGTGTTGTTAGATGACGTGAAAAATCCAGCCACTGAGTGTTGCTTTGTCCACAACATGACTTTCGATAACATAGGCTGTGCCCCAACAGGCATATAGCCTGAAGGTACTACACTGGACATGTGAATCTACTATTTTATATAACTTTCTTTTATTGTAAAACTTAAATTGCTATCAAGAGAATGTCTGTGCATTTTGAATTGCGTTTTTAAATTCATGAATGGTTTCGCAAAAGGTATTCGGCCTGGAGGTGGGAGGTTCCCCACCTGTGCCCTAGGCTAATCGTTCACATTTCATGAAAATCAACAAATGTCAAACACAATGACTTAAATATAATTCAATCCAGAACAACAACACAAACTACATGTTACATAATTAGTAAATGAGAATAAACACCTGTCACTGTGACCAAAAGGTGACAGTTTTATCTTCACAAAGATCAGAAATCAGTTGCCGTGATGCTTCCATTACAACTACTTACAATTCCCATGGCTTACATTTACTGACTTCACCTGAGCAAATAACAATATAGTATATCTGAAAAAACAGAAAGGAAAGATTACCTGTAGTATATACACTCTGATCATGTAGACAGCAGTAAGTAGTAGAGTGGATGCCCATCGCACTGCATAGAATGGCGTTGACTTGTCTAGCCATGACTGATAGACCTGTTCCACAATATACACAAAGGAAACAAAGAGTAGCCATCAGAGAAAAACATCTACGAACAAGTAAGATATAACCTTAGATAAAACACGTTTGTCTGGTTCACTTTGCAGAAATATTAACAAAAGACATAACATCTGCTCTATGACATTCTTATTTCTACAGACTGTAAAGACAAATATTCCCTAACCCTGGGACCTTTGTATCTCTCTGCCCAACTGTTAAATACACTTACGGTAGTTTAAGCATAACAACCCCTTTGACTACAAAGCTTGAGGAAAAAACTAGAGTGGTTATTTCAATATTTAGCACCAAATCTGAATATTTAATCTTGTTATATCAAGTTAATAAGACTCACACATCACACAGTCACTCACCTGTCCAACCCGTGTGAAGAAGGCAGCGACTACAGATGGTTTCCCATGGATCGACTCCCCAACACTGTCCCCTTCTGACATTCTACAAACAAACAGAGCATTTTGATTAGTTGTAGAAGAATATAACTTACCTGGCTAGTTTGACTGAAACCGATCATTTGTCGCTGCAGGGCAGCATCATTATCTAGGATGCACAACTCTAGTATGTCCCACCCTTCGGTATACAGAGGCTGGAATTTCAAGTTTGTAAATCAGCAAGTTGGAATTGTCTACATCCAACATAGTTTTTTGTTAGGGGACAAGACAAACATTAGTTTTTTGTTAGAAGAAAAGTCACACATTATTATTTGTTAGGAGACAAGACACACATTCCAACATTCTCTGGCTTTATCTATAATCACAATCCACGTGAGCAACATGATTTGATGCTTGAAGCGGTCACAGAGAGATGAAACAGCAGACAATGACATGGATGCAAGCAGACAGACACACAAATCATCCATCCATTAAGACTCGTGAAAAAGGGAACGCGCTTCTGAACTGTGTGACCAGCTAGTGGCAGTCTCTGTGTGACATCACCTGATGAACTAAATCTACAGGAGCTGCTCTCTTGTATCTGGAGATCAGAACGATAACCAGCTAAAGGAAACGAGAACACGATCTAATAGTGGCTCTGTGGACACGCTAACTGGCAATGGTCACACATCTCGGCTACTTTCACACAGGGACGAGAGCTCCATTGATTTAGAAACGAGTTGATCGTGAATCTTCTATGTGACGTTGTCATGAGTTGACCACCAATTACAACGTGTGGTGTCATGTTACACACATTCAAACGTTATTCGTAAAGATATATTTCGACATGTAGCGTTAGCTGAAAAACGGCAAGATCGTGTTTAACTGTTCGTTGTTGGGGCTAGCTAACGTTAGCAGCACAACTAGCTAACAATCTGAACAATCCGGAAGGCAGCTAACTGGTGATATTTTAGGAAACACACACGCCGAGAAAATGGCGACATCGCTATAATCGACACAAATAAAGCAATAATTGTTATTACCGGTTTGTCGGTTGTATTTGTTAAAATGACCGACGTTAGCCGACAAATTGGCCCTAGAAATAGCTAACAAGCTATCTCACTGTACATTGCCCTGTCGCCCAAATAACCCATTAGTATGGGTGATGTAGTTTTAGCCGAAGCTTCAGTTAACCCCATACCGTCCTTAAATGAATCCACGAGACTACACTTCCCACAGCTCACCCGTGCAGTACATAAAACCCGAGCAAAAATAAAATGTAGTTCGTGACTCGCGTTCACTCCATTGCAATTTAACTGTCTTTGGAAAACATTGAACTACAAGTCCCAGCATCGCGTTTGATAATCTGACAACTCACTTCCGGAGGTTCGGTACTACGCTGCCGACAGCTCCTCGGCTAGCCGTCCAGCTCAGGCAGAAATCTAACTCAACTCCAGAAACCGCGTCACTGTTTAACGATACCGAATCTGTTCTGCGTGTGTCCTGGTTTCAATGTCTCTCTGTGTCTTTGGGGTGTGTGTGAAAATCAAGTGAGGATAATCAATGGCGCTCCTCTCTTACCTGATGCGGCCGCTGATGTCACTACCCGGCTCTACCTAGCTAGCTAAACTAGCCACCTCTCGAGCAAACTGGTGTGAACACGTCAGTACTTCCGCTAGGACTCGAACATACGCCAGGCTGAAGAGTCGATCCCCGAGAACGACGAGCTGCTGACACTGATCACGCCACAGAGCGAATATAAAAAAGGGTTAGGGTCTCACCATAGACTGTTTAAAAAGGGTTAGGGTCTCACCATAGACTGTTTAAAAAGGGTTAGGGTCTCACCATAGACTGTTTAAAAAGGGTTAGGGTGGTTTTTATGTATCAAACTCTTTTTAACCGTTTTGATTTAAAACCGTGATATGTTATGACTAGTTTGTTTTATTTTGTTGAGGATTTTATGATGGGTTTGTTTTATTTTGCTGCCAATGTAAAGCACTTCGCAATGTGGATTTTGAAAATTGCTCCATGAATAAAGTTTGTCATTATTATTATTTTTACCTGATATCTTTATGTTTTGTGCATTTATTAATAGTTTTGTGCCACTCTTTTACTTAATAACTAATTTGGCTCTGTGTGCCATGCATACACATTCCAATGTACCTGTATTGTCTTACCTGTGCAAATGGAAATAAACATCAAGCAATCTTATCCATCTTATCTATCATAATTCCAATGCATGTCTTATAAAATGCTGCAGGCATTAACCCCATGTGTGATGATTAACATAAATATCAATAGGAATAAAACTCAGACCAGTGATTAGTCTTGAAACTTTTTTGACTTCAATAAAGAGAGACATTAAAAGACGGCAAATATTTTAATATCCACGATTTTAAGAAAAGAAAAACACTGAACTTTACAACCTCAGAAACTAACAGACATTGATGAACAGCAATAGTTACAAACATTTCAATAATAATCTTTATATATATATAAAAAAACGTAGCAGAAATATCAAAACAAAGCACTATTTCTATTTACATTATGATAATGCATAATACTGATCATAAGCACAAATAATCCTAAACCATTTTACCTTTAAAGCATTAAAGTGCTCTGTCTTTGACCAGTTGATGTTAGCCAGTGGAAGTGTGTATGTATGAGGCCCATGGAAAAATAACTGCATATCAGGTAGAGATTATTGTCATGGTACAAAGTCAGGTACTTACTACAAACAAATTTGACACCATACTAAAATTGCACCATGATCAATCATGTTAATGGAAATCTAGGATTCAAACTGGAATGTTGTTTATTATTAAATATCCACAATCAAGTGCTATGAAGAAACACACTGAGTACACAGCTAGTATGAGGACCCTGCCCTGCAAGGTTTTATTCAAAATACACCAAAATGTAGAAACATGCTGCTGTCTTGCCTAGTGTCTTAAATAGGGATGCTATTCTCAATGTCTTTTTTACAACTCTGATTAAATCCCTGCTATTAAGATATAATACTGTTTTTGATATTTTGACCTCTCAGCTGTTTTGTAGTGTGTTTCCATACTAGTATAAATACAACACTTCCCACAGTAAAAAAGTAATGGATTCAATGTTCTACTTTTGATTTTACTTGTTGACTTGGATGGGAGTTTCCTTGAATACACTCTATTCATACCAAATCCCATTTAATAAATGTTAAACTTGAAATGACGAGGGCATACTGAACTAGAAGTCATCCAGTTATCTTTTCCATTAGAAATAATATACACTACTAGGTGTTCCCATAACTGATTTACCAATCACCTCTGTTCATTTGGTTCAAACAGGAAACAATTTTGATTCTAAATACCCATTTTCAACCACATCTAGTCTAAAACATTTACAAGTTACAGTATATACATTTGCACAAGTCAAGTGAAACTGAAAGAGCAATAAATAAGGCAGCTGAGAACTAGTTTTATTTTTAAAGAAAAAGGAACAAATTGAAACTAGAACATGAATGTGAATTTACGAAATGTCTATTATGCGATTCTGTATCAATGCTACAGTTGATGTTCACCGTGTCAGTGGATGCTACTATTTTTTAAAATCTATTATTGCACTGTGAGACCAAACAACATCCCGCCTCCCAGAATATTTGATATTCCTCCCTTGTAACCTCTGATCATCAAAGTCACAAAACGTACAGTTCAAAAAATGTGTGCTTTCATTGGCATTGCCTTGACAGTTGTATTGTCGCAATGGTGAATGCCGAGAGAACTTGAGACGTCTTTTGTGGTATCTCATGTTCAAAGTCCTGGGTGGAGCAAGTGTTCATGCACAAAATAAGGACAGCACAGGAAAGTGCATTAATACACTGAAAAAAATTCTCTGCAAAATCACTGACAGCAACACCTAACTGCACATTTAAAGACCCAATCCACATTTCTTTACTCTGTTATTAGGCTGATTGTGACAATAACGCTGTCAAAACAGTCCCAAGATTCTTTTCAGCCTCAGTGAACATCACTTTCCATGAACTCCTCCTTGATGGAGTGTTTGTTGCGTGACATTCTGCAGTCGGGCATGTCGAAACCAAAGTCAGCCCACTCATCACCAGTCGCAGCCATACCTGAGGTCCCAACGACACCTGACCTGTTAGGGATAGTGATGGTGTGGCGGACGCGAAAGTGCACGGCCTCCATGACGCGCTGGCGTTGCAGTTCGCCACCAGCAGCACCGATGGCAGCCATCGCAGAGGCAGCCATGTTGCCACTGGAGCGAAGAAGCTGCTGGCCATGGTAGTCATGGTGATGATTAGAGGCGGGCAGCTGGATGGGAGCACCCTGTTTCATGTCCTGCAGACCTCTCCAGATGGCGAGGCGGGACTGCTCTGGTATCTTCAGCGCACCTAAGTCCTGGCAGAGGCACAAACAGACATTGGAGAAGTGTGAGAATGAAGTAGAATACTAAGCAAAGAAGACAGATAATGATAAGAGTGCCAGTGCATCCTTGTGTATTTGCGGTTAGACACTATCTGTGGTCAAATATTCCACAGGACACATTCAACACAATTAAGTGGGTTTCCAAAATGTTCATGTTCACTATTGGTTCCTCTTTCCTTCGCTGTTATTATTTTTCTTCTTTTCTATGAAGCTGTACACACGACATTTGATATTATAATGATTGTTGTCACTGTGAGGTAGTAAGTGAACAAACAGAGCAGTTACCTCCATGGAGAGAGTCTGAAGATGGTAGATAGACTGGAGGCCTTGGGAGGTGAAGTACTCGATGAAGTTTTGACAGCCCAGACTGGTCAGAAAACTGCATGGGGAGAAAAGCAGGGCTGCTTAGACTGTCATCAGACCACAGCTACAAAGCTTAAAATAGGACTGAAATATAAAAATCTATTTGACACTGATGAAAAGTGCAGTTGTGCTTTAGTACAACACAGAATATCCTACGTGTATTGTCAGGGGCAATAAGAATGAAGAGAAAAGCCTTTCAGTTTTGTTGTATCACATCATCATCTCACTGTCATCTCTGATATTAGTTTATTTTAAAACCATAAACATGCATTTATATTAATGATTCATAAGGCCGTTATTGCTTTGGTGTAGAACCTTTATTATAAATACATGAAGTGTTAAAGTTTGGGTGACATACAATGTAATCGAAAAAGACGCTATACTGTACAATTCAAAATAAACATGATGATCTAGAAAATGAAAAGCTGGACAAAGTCTGCTGCATCCAAAAAAAAAGTTGAATTTGTGTCAGTCAAACAACTGCATTGACACATTCTCTTAGAAAAATAAGAAAGTAAACAGTTTTAAATTAAACAGAACGTAAACAATGAGAGTTTCTTTTGAAGAAAATCCACTGTAGTGCATTGCAAAGATATATGTAGGCTGTATACATAGTGACAGTGCAAATGTTTGTAGATGCATGTGTATGACGCACAGTTTGGGCTTTATAACAAACCCCAACATCTCATTTAGACCCTAAGCTTATGCAACTAGTTGCAGCGAATTGACGTAAGAACACTTGCTTGTGGACAGTTGATAAAGACCCAGACAAACAGTTGTATCTTACACCGGTAACAGGACACGGCACACTTCTATTTTCTTTTACTTAACTTTTACTCAAAACATTTATTAACCTGTTGCTATAACACAACCTTTCCAATTAAAGTTATTTTTAGGCTGTTTTATCAATAGTTTATTGATCAATTCCTCTTTGGACTTGGCACCAGCCATAGTTGTTGGCAGATTTTTGATGTAATTGTGAGTTTTTGCAAAGCAGCCATGATCAAATCAAACTGTCTGTATAACACAGATCCATCTTAACACATTTCACTGCAAAAAGGCCCCCCCCTCCCAAAAAAAGAAACAAAAAGTTTGGCCAAATGATCAAGCATCAACATGCCACTTGTCTGTATTTAATCCATAGAACGTTTATAAGATGACATGATGACATGGTTGTATAAAAATCTGACTAAAATATCACACATTCAAGTGCTGCCATCTTGCGCTTTTTTTACCCTTAAATGAGAGAAATCATCGTTTTTGGAAAAATTTGATGTGTTCTCTTTAGTTTGTCCCATCCACTAACATGGAGTGGGCAGGGTTTATGAGCTATGCTGCAGCCAGCCATCAGAGGGCGATTAAAAATGGCTTGGCTTCACGTTTGGGAGCCACCATGTCGTCCACCTTTATATACAGTCTATGATTTTAAACCAACAAGAGCATGTGATTGTCTGCTGGCCTTTTACACGAGAAGAGAGTAGAGGTGTCATTGGAGGGTGAGGTACCTGACGAGGCTGGGGTCAGGGTTATACGGAGGGGGTGGGCTGCAGTGGGAAGCAGACATTAGAGGCTGACTGCTGTGGCCACCGTTCATATCACCGTTGGCCTGCATGTGGTGGCTGTTGAGCATGTTTGAACCTGAGAGAGAGGAAGGGGCAGTCATTACATAATCAGCAGCAGAATAGCACAAAGACCTGCACTATAATGTACTGCATACTACAATCACATACAATTATCTTTATTAATATTTTCTGATCTGAAACCTTGACCAAGAAACTGATTCGAAACATGTAATGTGATTTGATTTGAATCACAAACGCAGTATAAACTCACCCATATGAGCTATGGAGGTGGGGGCAGAGGGGTGTTGCTGGGGCTGCTGCCCCACCAGCTGGTTGACTGAGGGCGGTTTGCTCAGGCCTCCATGGGCATGAAGCTTGTTCATGTTGGACAGTGGAGAGTAAGCGGTGGGGGAGGATATATGACTCCTAGAGAAACGAGGACATTAAGGCAGAGTTCAGTGGGATACGAGTGTCCATGTTCGTTAAATTCAATAGTACGATCTATTCAGCTTCTTGTGAAGGTTATTTCATTCTTCTCTGAGTTTGTAACTTGTGAATCCTATTGAAGTGTGTCTGGGTGTGGATATATTTGTGTGTACGGCAAATTGAGAGCAATTTAATATGTTTTGTGTATTTGCATTTTACAAACAGGAAGAGTTTAATACTGGCAGCATGTTTATGTTTCTCTTTAGCCCTGTTCATACCTGAGAGACCCAATCTGAAATGTGTCCTCAATGCATCACGCCTGTGATTCGATCAGAGTGGATGTTAATACCGGTTCTGAACAGGGTCCGTGTGTATGTTTGAGTGTTTTAGGGCATTTAATCACCGGGCATCTGTCTGCTTGTGCATTTGTGTGACTCACGGTCTCTGCAGCAGTTGCTGCTGTGTTTGTTGTCTATAAGAGTCCACCAGAGGCTGTGGCACCAACTCCACCAGCTCCAGACTGTCTTTAATCTTCATCAGCAGCTCAAAGTTCTCTCTGCCACGAACCTGCGCTCAAGACAACATCAAACACATCAACAGCCGTGTGAGCACACCTTTAGAACAATGGTTTGTTTGTTGTCAGGATTTCAAACAATGGTATTTGACTTTTCGTTGAGTCAGTGTAAATATTTCAACATACTGCTACATGATTGAATTAGTTGAGTTTAGGGGTTAAAACCTCACACACATCAAATGTAAATCAATTGTAATTTATGACATTATACTGGTCAATTTAAATAATTAATAAAATGTTAACGTTTGTAAATGACTTACAGGAATGTAGTAAATCTCTTCTTCTCCGTGTCGTCTCTTCCTCATGTTAATATTTGGACTCGGGATATTTGGCGGACTCTGTTTAAAGTCTGCAGACAACAGAATCATACTTAAACAGGTTTCTCGAACACAGTTCACAATCTCATTCTTTTAGACACTCAACAACAAAACATGACGTGAACTGACAAGTCTCAGAATTTCTACTCACTGCGCTTACTGGCACTGCCATTTTTGGCTATATTCTCATTCAGGGCCTGTTGTTCCCTGAAGTGATCCTCATCAGCTTTGCGGTCTCTGCCAGGACACGCACATATCCGACCTTCGAACGACCTCCTGCCCAAGACTTGACCACTTGAGTTAAAAGAAACATTTTCTTGTTACTGTGAGATGAAACACTGATAAAATAAATGCTCGCTAGCTTCTCCTAAATTCCAAACATGTCTCTACGACTCAGTTTTACCTTATACTTGAATCAAGCACTGGAAAACACTTGTTGTGTCTCTGCACTTGCCATTCCATTGTGAGTGTGTGTGTGTATTTGTGTGGTTCAGGTATTTAAAATGTTGTGGGGACCTAAATCTGTTGACAATGGTCACAATATGAGAACTTGTCTTTCTCATATGGATAAAAAGCAGGTCCCCATGAGATTTAGATTAGGTGTATACATTACGTGTAAAGGTTAGGGTTAGCCATGTGTTTGACCTATGCATTGCTGACTTACTCCCTGGTCTCCAAGGTGATGATGATGAGGATGGGTCTCCTGTTCATGCCACCCACACAGCTGCTGTTGCACATGAAGTTATACAGGATGGTGGTAAACTCAGTCCCCACCTGCAGCAAACAACGATCAATGTTTAGGGTTATAATGTTTTTTATGTATCGAAACAATTCTCATTATGCTCCATCTGCAGACAAGCAAACCTCCCATTTTCTCTGTAAGTGTGCCCAATGCACCACCAGGGGGCAGTGCTGTACTGCACTTTGATGCGAGGCAAGACAATTGATGCTTTTCTTTAACTTCCCTCAATGGTTTCGCACTATTGTGATCACTTGATCAACTTCATCCTTACATACAGATGTTATTAAGTATTTAACTGGAACGGACTATTCATCTGTAATTAACTTGACTGCTCATTGGTTTGATCATGGAAATCAACAGGAAATCACTTCATCACTACAATGCACTGTGTCTTTATGATACCGAGCCACCAACCTGAGGAGCCTCATAGGGCACGAAGACGCTCTGTCGGCCAGTGACAGGATCATCCACATACTGACAGAGGTTACTCCCCTCCACCCGGATCAAGTGACTGGCTGGGGCTGCTTGACCTTTGGGAAGAAGGATGGAAGAAAGGTCAGGATGCGGTTGGCTGATCTAACTCAGGCTTGTTTTCCTATCATGTTACTGCACAAAATGTTTCTGTTTAAAAAGAAGTGACACCAAAGTTGTGAATCATGAGTAACATGTCTTATCTTGTACTGTGTGATTTACCGTCATTGAAATCTCGCCCCAGTTCATGATTAGGGCAGCGCTTGACCACCTCTGTGACATGCTCTGCCTTCTTGTAAATGGGCATTGCTCTGAGGATGCTGCCATGTGGAGGAGAGGAGGACAGTTTGATCTGGATCGGACAGGTCTTGGCAATCTGACAGTAGAGTTTCTTCAGCAGGGGCGAGTACTGGATGGGAGAAGAACAGACACAGGGCCAGAGAGACTCAAGTCAGTGATCTGTGACTGTGACTGTGTACATAAAGGAAAAAAATGAAAATGAAAGAGCCATCTGTCTAAAACATTCTCAGAACATGAGCACAAGTGAACCAAGACTTTGTCCAACAAAATGCCAAACAGTTGCAAACAATCTGCATAGCCAGATTTCTTTCTCTTTTCAGTTTACACTTTAGTCATTTCCAGAGTGAAGAATCAGATCTTTTAGTGATCAGTTCACGCTTTTATGTTTTTGGAAATAACCTACAAAAAATTAAACTTATGACAATAAAGATGAACAAATTTAAAACTGTTCCCTCAAGACATCGATATGAATAATACAAAAAAAAAAGATAGGAAGGTTAATGTCAAAGGATTTACCACCATAGACATCAGGGTGAAATAATGTTGTAAGAGATGCCGCTGTTTCAAAATGAAAAAAAAAGTGATTTGAGTCATTACATTATCTATTAGTACAGCAGAGAAAAAAGGGATTCAAGTGGACAAATTAAAAGCTGGGTGATAATCTAATGATACAATTGCAGTGCCCAAGTAGGACACTGTAATTATGGTATAATGTTATGACTGGAGAACGCATGGTGTCAGGAAAGGGAGAGTAAGGAAAGGGAACCATAAAACAGTCATCAGTAAATTTGAGTCTGTATTATAAAAGTAAATACTGTGTTATTAGAATGAATAAATTATTATTATCCAGCAGAGTGGGTTTGTGGGTAGTAATGTGAGATGCTGCAGATGGTAAAGGAACGGCATAACTTCAAAAGGACAGACTCGAAAAATGGTTGTGTCTGTGTGTGTGTGTAGGAGTGAGTGCGTGTGTGTGCGCCTGTCAATACCAAAGGGGGAAAAAAGTGAAAGAAACGTTGAATGTATTTTACTGCATTCAATCAATTCAGTTCAATGAGATTCTCTGTGTTTGCTAAGTTTTCAATGACTCCTTGTTTATGAGCATTTACACATGCATGTGTGTACTTGTATGCATGTGTGCAAATGCCTGTTCAGACGCATCGCAAAGACACCGGAACAAAGGATGGAAGAGCCTTAACAAGCCCCGACACAATCACAAAATCTCAAAAATCTTCCCCACGGAAATTGGGACCTTCCAGAAAAAAAAGAGACGACAGTTGTCCTGTGTGGACTTGCAACAGTGAGCATGAATACAAATGCAGCAGTGCATCACATGGAAGAAATAGATTATATGTAGCTCAATGTCTGCTACATCACATCGGAAAAAAAATCTTTTTTAGTCTCATTTGTTATTTTATTATTGTTTTTTAAGCGTGATAGGTGAGATAAAGCAAACACAGCATGAGAGCGATTATAAAAAGCTGAAACTGATGGTCTGCATCTCCTACCAGAACCCTCAAATATAATTTTTGGAAGTTTTTATCTGGTAACTTAAGTTTAATCATGTGGTAAATGGTTAATATTTTACAAACTTCAATGGAGTGTGTTTGTAGGAACTTCAAATTTATAAAGTCTTCAATGGATCTGAGGGACAATTCAAAAATAACTAACTAAGGTCATTTCCATTTAGGCCTTTTAACAAAAAGGCTGTATTACAAATTGGCATTTTGGGTCTAATATAACATGCAGTATAAAGAGTTCTGCTGCATTATGGGTTGTGTAGTATCCATTTGAGCTACACCTCTAAAAAATATCACCTTTTCATTTGGACTCTTGAATTTATGCACCTTACCACACTCCTCACGATATCCAGGGATTAAGAGAATCTGTTGCATGGACATCAACTAAATTCTTTAGATTCACGTATTATAACTTTTATAAATGTGTTCTTATCAGTCCAACTCTGGTTTGACTCCCTCCAGACAGCATCTGGCCTGATGACGACTGGCATAGAGTCATCCCTATGCTAGCAACTGCTTGGATTCCTTGTTGTGACACCGTTACTAAGCCATACACACATCCCAGACTCACACACACACACACACA